GGCTGCTGGATCCAGAACTCAAACCACAGTTGACCATGTGGAATCCAGCCATCTTAAATACCATACCATGGGCTGGCACTGACCACATTTTTATTTTAATTTTCTGTATGACAAAGGAACTGGAAACCAAATTAGAGACTGGGGGAAATGCTTGCCATATTATATAATAGAGGAGTAGCATCTACAAAATAAAAAGCACTCCTACAAACCAATGAAAAGACTATGGTGAGACATTTCACTAAAGAAAAAATACGGATGGTTAACACATGTTTGAATCTTTACCATGCTCATAACCTAGAAATACGAAATTAAATTATATTGTATGCTGCATATTCTATGAAAGCCTTTTGGGGGGATTTTGTTTTTGTTCTTTTTTAGGAGCCAGTGGAGAGATCGATGTTGTTCATTGTTGGTGGGCGAATTTGTAAAGAGGTCCTCATATACAGTTTGTTAGGGCCGTAACTCGTATACTTACCTTAGAGGCTAAGTTAAGCATTTAAAAACACATAACACCTTGGGAACCAGCAGTTAGCGTAATGGCTATGTCGCTGGACTCCCACGTAGTCGACCGCGGTTTGCGTCCCGGACCTGGTGGCTTAGAACTCACACTGGGCGCCTGTGCGTGCGTGCCCAAGATCCCGAGAGGAGAATGGAGGAGAAGGGATTGCGGCGTGACCATCCTCCCTGGGGGTGATTTCTCACTTTCTGTCTCTATGTCTCTCTGTCTGGCGAGCACACGCACCCTATAGCAAAAACCTCTCAAAAAAAAAAACAAAAAAAACCCACACATAACACCTTCTCTATGTCTGTCTGACAGAAATATTCTCATAGGTGCACAGTGAAGGAGGATAAGGATTTATATTTAGTGTTATTACTGTTTGTTTAAAAAGTAAAAAAGAGAAACAACCTGTAGAGCCATACAGTGGTGCAGCAGTAAAATCTGACACTCTGTGAGGCTGACCCATAAGGGAAAGTTCCGAGTTTGCATCCAAAGATTTCCCCAACTGAGAACGCTGGGCACATGTGTGTCTGTCGTCTGGGGCTGACTGAGGCTGGGGGTGGATCACAGTATTTGACCCAGTTTGGGGTACTGTCTCTCTGTCTCTCTCTCTTTGTATCTTTTGCACATAAAATAAAGAACCTTGATAAAAAGAAATGCCCTAAATGCCCAGCAGGGAGAGAATAAGCAGAATATTCACGTAACTCTGATATATCCTTAATATAGAATACTGCAACAAAAAGAGAGATTATAGTCAGATCAAGTGTACTAATATGGCAAGATCTCTAACCACTTTTAAGTGAGTCAAAAAAGTAAGTTATAGAACAGGATGCACAGTTTATCCATTGTGTTTGTGCATAAGACTATTTCTGAATGTGTGTATCTCTCCCTGCATTGAAAGAGATCTAGGATACTTTACAACACGGTGAGCCTAGCAGAAGGTACTCCATATTGTTCAAGGTGTGTTTTATTTACATCAGATGTTTCATCCTTTTAAAAAATAAAAACATCACTTAGTGAAGCAACCTTACTCCTTCAGATTTGGAGCATTGGCATTCAGAAATTATAGAAATTCATCTCTGTCATGTGTGGATGAGTACACACACACACACACACACACAAATAATTTATCTAGAAGTGTTTACAAAAGAATTAAAAGAACAGCATCAAGAACTCCCAATTAACTTTGTCCACATACCCCGTTGTTAACAGTTTACATGTCTGCTTTCTCTTTCTCTTGGTCATAATTTTTATTCTTTTTCTGAGCCACTGGGAAGTTGCACACTCATCACCAGGTGTTTATTTCCTTAAAAAAGAGTCCTCTAACTTGTCCATGTGTATTTCCACAAAACCAGAAGACTCCCCTATGTAGATGTACTATACATATAAAAATAGTTTAATGCATTATAAATACTCAGTTGCACATGTTGTTCGGCAACTCAAATAATTTATCTAGAAGTGTTTACAAAAGAATTAAAAGAACAGCATCAAGAACTCCCAATTAACTTTGTCCACATACCCCGTTGTTAACAGTTTACATGTCTGCTTTCTCTTTCTCTTGGTCATAATTTTTATTCTTTTTCTGAGCCACTGGGAAGTTGCACACTCATCACCAGGTGTTTATTTCCTTAAAAAAGAGTCCTCTAACTTGTCCATGTGTATTTCCACAAAACCAGAAGACTCCCCTATGTAGATGTACTATACATATAAAAATAGTTTAATGCATTATAAATACTCAGTTGCACATGTTGTTCGGCAACTCACCTTCCCCACGCACCTATCACCTCTCCAAAATTCAATTATCCAAATCAAGAAATTAACATCAGTACAACATTACCTAATCCACGGGACCCATTCACACTTCCTCCAACTCTCCTGGCACTGTGTTCTTCTTCCTTCCTGGTCCCAGGATTCAATCTAGAATCATGCCTACATTTGCTTGCTGTGTCTCTTCAGTTTTCTTTGACCGGAAATAAGTACCCAGGGTTTCCTTGTGTTTCATCACCTTAGCAGTGGTAAAGAGGGAGGCCCTCATCTGTGTAGGATGTCCCTCAGCACGGGACTGTTGAATGTGCATTTGTGTCCAGACTCAGGCCCCGCCATCTTGGCAGGATGCCACAGACTCAGCGCTGTGCTCTTCTCAGCGCCCCACCCGGAGAGCACAAGGTGGTGACCTGCCCACCACTGGACATGAACCTAGACTACAGGTCCATCTTGTGCTTGTGCCTGTCCGCTTTCTCCCCTAGAAAGTTGCCCTTTTTTCCTTTTGTAGTTTATGAGATCCCCTGAAATGATGCCAGTATCCCACTTCATCAAGCCCGGCACCCATCAGCCTTAGCATTCATTAACAATTCTTGCCTTACTGTGCTACCAGTGTGAGGGTTATTGTGGTTTTCTGTTTCCCTATTTTCTTCTTTTTTGCTTGTTTATATTCTGTCATTTTAAAAAGTGCTTTCTGTTCTTTTATTTATTTGATTTTTTTTTTCTTTTTTTGTGGACTCAGGATTCCTCTCTGAGAAACAGATTACAACTCTTGAATATCACTATTTTTACTCTGATGTTCAGAGTGTCTCCTATCTGGCCAAGGGAACACCTGCAGGATAGTTTGTCATTTTGACATACCCCCTTCATATTTTTTTTTTGTACTTCTTTACTGTGGTAAGCTGAATAATGGGCTCCCAAAGTGCTCACACCCCAGTTCCCTGAACCATCTGGATTACCTGGGTGGGTCCAGGATAACCACAAGGGTCATCATCAGGAGGAGGCAGCAGGGTCAGAGAAAGCAGAGATATGAAAGCAGAGTAGAAAGAATTATGTGAAGGGGGGGTGTGCTGCCGGCCTTGAAAAGAGAAGCCTGTACACAAACTTATTAATATGAGGAACATTCCCTTTTTTTTTAACTCGTGTGTGTGTGTGTGTGTGTGTGTGTGTGTGTGTCTCGTCTGTCGTCATGATGAAAGCCAAGCATTTTCTACCTTGCATAGATTTTTCTAAAGCTAGAACTAAGCTCTACTTACTGATGATTCCCCTGCTCTCTTGAAGTCTAGCAAGATTTTGATTTTTTTTTTTTAATAGCTTGCCTACAGAAGGAAGCACCTGGTTTTCACCTTCCGTGAAGCCACTTTGGAAAACTTAGTTTAAGTGAAAAGAAGCATGCTTTTTATAATTTTCATGATAAATCTTTGCTAGGACACCTACAAAGACTCAAGTTGAGGCTTACACATGACCTTAGTGATCGCGATCAGTAGTCCTGCAGTTCCACAGTACCAGTGTTAAAGGGAGAGTCCGTTGTTTCAGCTACTATTGTGATTCTGTATTTTGAGGAGTATAGCCCACGTTTCTGGAACATTGCTACTGAACATATCAAATCAGTGTGTTGGTTTATAATGTCTTCCAACTGAGATCCTAAGGGTCTTGTTTTAAGAGGAGCATCTTAGAGGTGCCAGGTTGTTAAGAGTATAAATTTTGGATTTAGACGAACACAAGTACAAAGTGTTATTCTAGGAATGGCACTGCTTAGCTGGGAGCTCTGGGCATGTCACTTCATTTTTCTAAACTTTTAGAAACTTTTTCTTATTTTTTAAAATGGAGATACAATGTCATAAGGTTGTAGGGATTAAATAAGAGAATGTAAATAAAATACTGCACACACAGTAAGTGTTCAATAAATGATAGCTATCATCACTAGGAAGGATTTTAATTTATTGCAGTGATAATTAACTGTGATGATAATTACAGTAGTTAAATATCATTTCTTAGTAATCCCTTCATCAACAGTACACTACAGTTATTTTCCACTTTGTGCATTCTTTGTTTTTCTGAGAAATTTTAAAGTGTGTGCTGGGTGGGAAGGGGAGCAGATTGTATTTTAATTTTACATATTTGTATTACATTTAGTAAACTTTCTAGCAAATAGAGAGTGCATGACTATCTTGATATTGAAATGATGTGTATGTCCTTGAGATGCCACGTTGTGTGCTTATATTCACAATTGTTTCAGAAATGCAGTTTCTATAACAGTGATAGGAATTTTGCTGCTAGTTGACAATGAAATCATGGCGAAGTTAGTTTGACAACCATGGTATTATCATACAATCACTTTACATTGTAATTTAACTTCAGTGATTTAGTGCTTATTTCTACCAATATTAGTAGTTCCATTATAGTAAGAGTTTAAAAAGGCAAAAAGTATATTTAAATGTATGCTTCTGTTACTAAACATTTATGTCAAGTGGTTGTTCCATAGAGATATAATCTTGCCCTAATTGTTAGAAGCAGATAAAACAGAAACATGTAAGAGCTTCACTTCCATAAGACTGGCCAGATTATTATTATTTCACCATAATGGCAAAATCTGCCAGGGAAATTAAAACAAAATTTCCTCCCTAAGAAGATTCTGCCTACTCTAGCTATAGCTGTGTGAGGACAGGGGGTACCAGGAAACGGTGACATATTGTTGGAGCAGACACTTCAAAAATACCTCCTGCTTTCTGTGTTTCAGCAACTTCACTGCGTAGTGGTGGGAAGTGAAAATGCCAAGCGGTATTTCGAAGCGGTTCAAGGATCAAAAGAGCATCGAGGAGAGCTTTTTGGGATCTATAACCTGTTCAAACTGAGGACCCAAGGGTCTTGTCTAACAAGGGACATCCTGGAGGTGGGGACTTGTTCTCTGAACTTCTTGATACTGTATGACATTTAAATATGGTGTTTTCCCCCAAGACACTTGAAGAAGGCTGTACTTTCTCAGAGAAATTATTGATTTTTCTTTATCAAAAAATGCCTTATGTTTAATTTCTACTTTTAGAGAAATGGAAAATGAATTCCTTCTAAACTAAGGTTTTCTCAGGCGTAGTTATACATAATGTACATATAAATACAAATACATATACTATTTAGTATGATCTCTAAGGCCGTTTTCAGACTCATGAAGAGAAGTTAATTATTTTGAAAACAGCTATTGAAGTCAAGAAAAAAATGATTTTCTTAAATAAACAGATATAAAATGTGTTTTGATTCAAAGTTACCAAATATGCCCTGAGATCCACTCTCATGTCTCACGGAGATTTTTATCTTCTGTTCCCAATAAAAATTCCACATCAGTATTTCAAACTCTCCCAGTTGTGTTCACCCTTAACATACAGATGTTTCTTATTCAAAATAATTTATATTCTTTTTAAAAAATCTTTTAAGTTCTTTAATTTATCAGAATACTAAGAATATTAACATGTTTTCTAATTTATATTAATGTAAGTTTCAAAAAACCCTGGACTGTGTATCATTTTTTTCTTTTTTTGTTTTTTGGAGAGGTTTTCGCTATAGGGCGGGTGTACTCGCCAGACAGACAGTGAGAGACATAGAGACAGAAAGTGAGAAATCACCCCCCAGAGGGGATGGTCACGCCGCAATCCCTTCTCCTCCATTCTCCTCTTGGGATCTTGGGCACGCACGCACACGCGCCCAGCGTGAGTTTTAAGCCACGGGGTCCGGGATGCAAACTGCGGTCAACTACGTGGAAGTCCAGCGACATAGCCATTACGCTAACTGCTGGTTCCCTGTATCATTTTTTCAACCTCTTCATCATATGCATGAAGAAACTGAGTCTTGGAGAACTTCAGGTTAGTTTCCATGACTTGGGACGTTGTAGTATCACTTTAATGTCCTTCATTTATTCCGTTAAGTACCAGTTAAGACAGTTCAAGGCCCAATTGGTCCCAGACCTGAGGGGCTTAGATCTCAGATACATTTGTAATTTTTCAAGGTTATAAAACATTCCTTTCAAAATGTTTTAAGACATAAAAATTTGAATTTATGTAGCACTTTAAAGCCTGTGAGTTTCAGGCAATTTAGTTCCATTTTGCATTGACTTTTTGTTATCTATGGGGTTGTCAGGAAAGTCAGGATACATTTTTGCATAGAAAAATGTAGAAAAATATGTCATAACTTTCCTAATAACCTAATATATCATGGTTGTCCTAATTTAGAGATATCAGTACCTGCTAAAAGTCAGGTACTGTTCATAGAGCTAGGCTTACATAAAGTAACAAAATAGAAAAAACCCACCTGTTAGAAATGTTCATTCTATTGGGAGAGACAAATAATAAACAGAACAAATAAGTGAAAAATACAGTATGTCATGATGTAAGTTTGAAGGATAAAAATAGAGCAGGGGAGGGAAGTAGGGACCGTCAAATTTGGATGGGGTCAAGGAAGCTCTCCCTGTGAAGGCTGCATTGAGTCTTGAGAGAGGGGAGGGAGGGAGGTGTGTTATAGACACAGAAAACAAATGCAGAGGCCCTGAGGGAGAAGCATGAGTGCCATGATTTCAATATGGCAGGGCAGACAAAATGACTCGAGTGGAGTCAACAAGAGAGTAAGAGATGGTGGGAGAGAAATAACAGAGAGCTAGATGATGCATGACCTTTGACTTTTACTTTGAGCAAGATCAGAAGCAATTGGAGAGTTCTGGACAGAATAATGACAGATTGATGGTAGCTTGACCAACTACTGAGAACTTGACTGTAGAGTTGCAAGGATGAGCAAGAAACCAGTTAAGAGGATACTGCAGTAATCCAGCTGAAATGATGGTGGTCTGGGCCCAGGGTGACAATGGTGGGTGGCAGGAGAAGTGGCTGGATTCTTTAAATATTATTCAGGTGGCACTGACAGAGTTTGCTGATAGATTCGATATAGGATATGGGGGAAAGTGAGGCATTAATGGGGGATCCTGTGACCTGAACAGCTGAAGGCTAGAGTCACCAATTTACCTATCGTAATAGAGTTTCAGTCGCATAAGATTTCTGGTGCTGCCAGTTGTATCTGTTGTAGCTGCTTGGTTTCTGCTGAAGAAACAAATGGAAGTGCTGAGAAAGAGGGCCTCCCACCCCCTTGCAACAGTGGCCTCTGTACATGGGGTAAGGACTCAAGGCAATTCGGAAACAGTTTATCATTCTCTAGAGCTCTATAGGGGAGACTCCCACTTGTTGCCTTGGGTGACAGGTGGTTAGAAACACCCTGCTGGTATGTCTGTGTATTCATAAGTTTTCTTTCTTAACTCTGGTGATGGCAGTATTAATTCTTTAAAAAGGGAAAGAATTGATTTTCTCTTGAAGGAAAATTTAATATTCTAGAATCTAGGCCTTAGATACCTCTACTAAATGATATACCAAAGCTTTAAAGTCATATCGTTCCTAAAAGATGTAACAAGGCTGTTAAATAATTAAGGCATCATTTTTCTTTGCTTTCTTTTTAAAGAATTATTTTGTTTTATTTTATTTATTCATTTATTTTTTAACTTGGCCAGAGGAAGGCAGAGAGAGAGAGAGAAAGTGAGAAAGCAAGCCACCAGGCCCAGGCCTTGAACCATGGTCAGCCATCTGGGAGTGTCCAGCACCTTAACCACCACACCACCTGCTGGTCCCCATAAGGCATCATTTTTCATTTCATGTTAGGACAAACCTTTTCATTTTGGTATCTGCTACACCTAAGGACTGGATAAATATTTTTAAATGAATGTGACCAATAAATACACTAGCATTATAGGTTGGTATATCAAGTTCCCAGTACTCAACATTGTCTACGGTGTTTGAAATGTTGCTGTATGTCCCAGTATGTTAATATATAGGAATAGTAATTATAGATGTCATACTACCTAAATATATAGCATTTTTTCACTTCTCTTTCCCCCATTACAGCTTTTAATCGAGTTACCTGTAAATTATTACTAGTTTTTGTTAGTTTTTAAATTTGCTAGAGAGTGTATGTGCTTGCTAGAGAGTGGCAAAGAGACAGAAGGTGAGAAAGCATCTCCTCCCCCTCCCCAGTAGAGGATAGTCACACCAGGGTCCCTTCTTATCTCTCCTTTGGGGATTGTAGGCACTCACTCACAAGTACCTGATGTGTTTTTCAAGCCTCCAAGTCTGAGACTCTGTCAGCAATCTGGGATCCAGCCACCTTAACCACTGCACCACTGGCTAAGCCATTTTACTAGTTTTGAACACCTGAAAAAATAAAGTTTAAGACAAGAGTTAAGAGTATTTCAAATGTTATGTAAAGCTATATATGAGGGTCCAGCATGATGGTACAAGCAGTAGGTGACCACTACATGAGGCTGGAACTGCATAGGAAGTCCAGGTTCTGTTCTCAGACCAGACTAACCAGGCCAGGCATGGTGGTTTGCCCCTGTAGTCCTGGCTAACTGGGAGCCTGGGACAGAGGATTGCAGTACGGTGAGACCCTGTTAAGAACATTTATCTGTTCTCACTCAAGTACGTGTGTGTGTGTCTCTGTATGCATTTTTTTTTTTGTTTTTTTTGAGAGATTTTCACTGTAGGGCGCGTGCGCTCGCCAGACAGACAGAGAGAGACATAGAGACAGAAAGCGAGAAATCACCCCCCAGGGGGATGGTCACGCCGCAATCCCTTCTCCTCCATTCTCCTCTGGGGATCTTGGGCACGCACGCACACACGCCCGGCGTGAGTTTTAAGCCACCGGGTCTGGGACACGAACCGCGGTCGACTACGTGGGAGTCCAGCGACATAGCCATTACGCTAACTGCTGGTTCCCTGTGTATGCATTTTTTATCCATATTTTATCTACAAATATGGATATCCACAGCACCTGGCCTTTAGGTTGTACCAGGAACAGAACCTGAGCTTCCCATGTGGCCCCAGCCTATAGAGCACAGTGTCTTGGCCGTACGTGCCACCATGGCTGCTTCCAAAGTTCTTTTTAAAGATAAAAAGTGTGTGTGGAAAGTTTCATTGTTATTGTTACTGTATTTATCTTGTTTGTTTTTAGAATTTAGAATTTATATTCATTAAATTTTATAAAATTGATATATACGTATATGTGGAACTTTCTGCAAGTTCCTTAATTAGCAAATGCAATGCTAACACCAGCTGCATGCAGTTTTTCTTTAATGCCAAGATTTAGCATGCCCTTGCTGTGGTTTATCTGGTCGTTTGTACCCTTCTTTTGCACAGTTATTTGTGTTCTTTCTTGCTGACATTATAGAGGGAAGGCCAAGTGGAAGCAGGGATCATGACAGCCACCACGTGGTTGAAAGAGGGACCCCCGGCGCACAAGGTAGAAGTGGTAAGTCACGTTCGAGTCTGGAGGCCGTAATGCCTAGAGAAATGTGCTGTGATGATTTTAAGTCTCTCTATTTTCTTTTCATTTATAATGCATAATGGGAAAGTCTTTGCTTAAAAAAAAAGTTAAAGGCGCGAAGTCAGAGGGCAATCTGTAGAATGGGTAAGTTAGGTTGATTTAACATTTATACCACATGACTAATTCAGGAGCAATCATCAGGCAATTATGTCTGAACTAGAACTTTTAACTACTTAAAGCATGTTCAGAAACACCTGCTGCGCTACAGTAAACCTTAAGAATTCTTAAGAAATAAGTTATATGCTTTTCACTTTTCTTTTTTTTTTTTCCATAAAAGAGATTTTTGCTACATGGCCTGTATGCTTGCCGAAGAGACAGAGATAGAAAGTGAGAAATCATTCCACTGAGGGATGGCCACACCACAATCCCTCCCCTCCATTCTCCTCTTGGAATCTTGGGCATGCACACACACAAGCAGTGTGAGTTATAAGCTGCTAGGTCTGGGACTTGACCCAGGGTCAACTACATGGGCGTCCAGTGATGTAACCATTACACCATCTGCTGGTCCCTAATTTTCACGTGTGAAGCTGGAGTTGTAGGTCCATGCTTCTTAGAAGCGGACCACTACATTCATGTTTTCCTTACAAATAATTTGATCATGTGGTACTCTAGTTTAAACTTTTATTTATTATAGGAAGTTATTCCCCTTATATATAGAGAGAGAGAAAAGACAACACCAGACTACAGTATTAAATCCTTTCCATCTGTTTATTAAACATACTTTTAGAAAACACCAAGTGATAGACATGTCCCTTAATTACCTGTCCTAAGTTAATTCCCTTCCCTTGTGATAGAGTTGATATAATTATCTCGACACTTTCTAATGTCCTGTCATTGCTTCTCACATAGCCTGGAGAGCCTGACTGTCAGGAGCGGAGAGGTTCCGAACAGCCTGCAGAGCCGCTGGCAAAGGAGGCATGTGATCTTTTCAGCGACTTTAGTGATGACGAATCACTGAATAAAGACTCGGGAATTAAGACTGCCAGAAGCAAAGCATCTGAGCCAAGCAAGGCTTCAGGCCCTCCAGGACAGCTCACCTTGCTCCAGTGTGGGTTTTCTAAACTCCTGGAGTCACAACATAGAGCAGCTGAGGACTGGGATGGAGCCTCGGGTGACGAAAGTTCTGACGAGCAGCCCACGTGCCTTTCCACAGTAGCTGAAGATGTCAGGTGTCAGAAAAATCAGGACTTCCATGGTTCCTCCAAACTGAAATTAGACAATGTCTTAAATCCAAATGAAGATGGTATTTTTTATCAAAATGAGGAGATTTTAGAACAGAACATTTCTTCCGAGTCTGGTGATGAGAAAAAATTTAAAAATACAGCTGAACATCATGGCACAGTACAGAATGTCTCCGACTCAGAAGACAGTGATGTCATCTTTCCCACGCAATATACTGCTCAGAGGTTCCCTAAGCGTACTGCAAGGCTTGAGCCATCATTAAAAGGATCCGAAGATTCTGTAAGAGGAAACTCTGTAAAAATAAGAAATAAGGGTGATGGTGAAGAGACTGCTGAGAGAGGAAATAAAAGAATTTCAACAAAATTAAATCCTGAAGGCAAAATCCTAAAACCTGTTATGAAAAGAAAAAGCACCAGCGATATTAGTGATGAGTCTGATGACATTGAAATGTCCTCCAACGCAAGAAGACGAAGAGCTACTAGTTCATTGAGGTTTAAGAGAAAAAAGGAAAGCAAAAGGGAATTTTGCAATTTTTCTGAAACAATGAGGAAAAAGAAGCAACTGCATGCCACAGATGAGGATCATAACTCTCAGCTTATTGATGATTTTTCATCCTCAGATGACGATCTCTCTGCCAACCAACAGAGAAAAGGCAAAATCCATTTCTCTTCAAAAATGCTTTATCATCATAAAAACAGCCCTGCCGTACCAAGAAAACAAGTGAAATTTTCAAATGAGAAAGTTGTTGATCAAGAGCAGATGTATGAATCAATGGATAAACTGTTAGGTAACTACAGACACATTCTGAAAAGTTTTCTTTAAAAACGTGTTTCATGTAATCAAATAATTCTGCTAGGGCTTCTCAAATTAACTTATAAAGCAGTCCTAAAATCAAGATGCTCCGTTAAGGCACACACAGAACAGGGGCAGGATAAAGGGAAGACCATCTAGGTCAATAGAGAATTTTGTCATCCCCCCCAGGATGCCCTCCATGTTCCCTGTTCACATCGGAGCCCCTCTGCTCCCATAAACGTCAAGTATTCTGACTTCTCTAGTAGTAACCGTTTGCATTTTTATGGTTGTGTTACACAAATGTGCATGGCTACGCTTTGACTGTCCGTAGAGTTTCCATCAATTTATATTTTGCTGATTGTATCCTCTCAGTGAGGGTGGACATGTTCCTCTGTCCTCTGTATTACCTGCACAGGAGTCGTGGTCTCCTAACTAAGACTGGCTAAGACTCATTTGGCGAAACTATAGGAGGTACAAAATGCTGCTCGCTCTCTTTATGATCTTAGCAGCTGTTGACACTTAGGCATGTCACGGTCTATTCATTCAGTAGTAAAATATTTTCTACTCCCTTTATTTCTTTTTCATTTATTCTCTTGTGTAAAGAGATACTTCCTCTCGTTGACTGTTGTTTGCCCAGCAGTGCAGTTCATATGGGAAAGGGAGAAAAAATGCTCCATTTACTTATTTATTTATTTACTATAGGGCACATGCACTCTCCAGGAAGACAGAGAGACAGAAAGCGAGAAATCACCCCCCAGGGGGGATGGCCACACCGCAATCCCTTCTCCTCCATTCTCCTCTCGGGATCGTGGGCACGCACGTATACTCCCAGTGTGAGTTTAAGCCACCGGGTCCGGGACTTGAACCACAGTCGACTACATGGGAGTCCAATGATGTAGCCATTACACTAACTGCTGGTCCCATCCATTTTTTTTTTTAATCAACCAGTTTTTAGCATAATAAATTGGTCCCATATCATCTTAGAGGGCAATCCATTCAGTCTTAATATCATTATTAATCAATCAAGTCAAATACATTTAACGAGTCTCAATCCATTGCAATTAATATCAGTATTAAAGATCAATGGTCCCCTCTTTGGCTAGTGGAAGCCTTTATTTATTTATTTATTTATTTTAAAAGATTTATTTATGTAAGTCCATTTGTTATTTATTTATTTATTTTAAATTTGACCAGAGAGAGAAAGGGAAAGGGAGAAAGCAAGCTGTATGTCCAGGACTCAAACCACAGTCAGCCCTGTGGGAATCCAGTGCCTTTAATCACCGTGCCACCTGCTGGCCCCAGTCAGTGGGAGCCTTTTAATGTGAACATTTTCATACCCGATACCTTTTGGCATTATGCTAGTTGTATTTGAAAGCTTCCTTATTATCTATTGATAGTACAAATTTACTATTTCTTACTTACCTGAAACTAAGCATGAAATTCATATATGATTTATATGCATCGTATACATAGAGAGAGAGATATACACATACACATAAGGAAGGTAATTTTATGCAATCTTTTTGTGTTGCGATTTTATTATTACAGCCTGTTACATGCGGTCATTTGTGAAACTTTTCACTTTCTTATCTACACTCAAAATGTTTCAGATTTTGGATTTTCAGGTTAGGGATGCTCGACATGTATTACCAGATATTCCATATCATCTGAGATATTTCCTCCCCCAGCTCTAGAATTAGTCATTTCTCTAAGAGGTTTGGTTTCTTTTGGAGAGAAAGTGTTTCAAGACCACAGTCTGAGGCAGCTGGTGGCACAGTAGTAACACAGTGCTCTCTGAATCTAGACCCAAATGGGAAGGCCCCTTGTTCACATCCTGGAATCTCCCTGTAATCCTGTAATCCAAACTGGCTGAGGCTGGGGGCAAATCATGGTGTGCGGCACCTGGTAGGGGTGCTATTTCTCTCTCTCAAGAAATAAACAAACTTATAAACACACACACACACAGTCTGGAGCTAAGAAAAGTTATCATTACTGGCTTGGTTATTATTTCTGGGCCTTTTCAGTAGTGTATACATGAATATATGTATTATGTGACATATATATGTGTATTTATTTTATGTATATATACACACATGTATTTACATGTGATGGTGACAAAATACCTCATGAGTTTGTACTTATTCTTTCATATTTATATTGCTAGTTAATTTAAGAGTATAGAGGTTTTACCTCTTCTCCGTTGTATTTGAATACCATTTCTTCTGTATTGATAATTCTGGTTCTCAAGCATATAGGGAATGATTTAATTATAAGCTCTCATAATTGCTCGTTTGTTTTATTACATATTACCCAAGTTGAAGTCAAAGAACAGGATAGCAGTGCTACTAGATAGCAAATATCTCTAAAAAAAAAACAGAGTCAGCACTGCTTTCTTTTCTTTTTTTTTGGAGAGGTTTTGTTACAAGGCATGTGAGCTCATCAGAAAGATAGAGAGAAACAGAAAGTGAGAAATAACGCCCCCGCCAGGGATTATTATAGCCCCACCACAATCCCTTCTCCATTCCTCTCTTGGGATCTTGGGCACACACACACACACCCAGCATGAGTTTAAGTCACCGGGTCCGGGACTTGAACCACCATCGACTACATGGGAGTCCAGTGACATAGCCATTACGCCAACTGCTGGTCCCCAGCATGGCTTTCATGGTTCCCCAAAAACTATGTGAAAGAAGCTGATATCCAAGCAAGGCTATTTGACCACAGACACCTTGATGATTAATTCTGCTTTATTTATAAATCAGACTTTCTTTTCCAAATATTAGTAGTTTCATTTAAAAGTTTATTATGACATATACTTCGGTTCTATTGTAAATAAGTACAGGATTATTCTTTGTCATGTGTGATACAGTTGGTTTTGTGGTGTGAGGACTTACTGCAAGACTATTTTTTAAAATAATCAGCTGGGTTCTTTTACTGTACAGAAGAAGTCAGTAGTTAGTGGAGAACTAATGCTGTTTTGAATAATGTATAAATGTGTCATCAAAATTAAGAAAAATCTGAGCAAAGCTTCTACCAGAAGAATCCTTTTGAAAGTTTTGAAACTGTGTACCACACATACTCCTTGGTGTTCTGAAACTGAGGGAATGTATTAGCCTCGTTTGCCCTCTTGGACTTATTATTGAATACCTTGTGTGTGCGTGATGGGCGATTCGGGCTGAGAGGTTCAGGACTGAAACAGCACAAGTGTTGGAGGTCATGATGGAGGTTCACTGCCAGAGCTGTTTGAGGGAGCTTTCACAGGCCTCAGCTCTAGACTTCTCTTTTATGACCACAATTTAAAAATAAATTATAGGTGCCTGGAAGCAAAGCCATAAAAAATATAGCCATTTTTAAAACCTCTTTCAGATAAAAACCATGAGTAAATTTTTTTTTCCTAAAAAGCTCCCATCTTGACATTCTCTGGGCATATGTACGAAAAAAAAAAGACAAAATACAAGCAATAAAACTGAACAAAGCAAACCAAATGTAACTCCCTGCTCATAAACTTCCTGCTCCCATTCCATCACTGTAATCAATTGCATGTTCAAGGAACAGATAAGACTAATGCCACTCTTTAAATTAGTAAGTAATTTTTGAAATGAAGAGGGGAAGACCCACATTCATACAGATGCCCCTCAACAAGGACTTCGCTTCTTGGCTACAATGACTACTTCAGGTTTAAATTAAAGATCTAATCTCAGCAGTTCTCATACTGATGAGAGGACAAAGCTATTTCCAAGTTAATATAGACCAGTATATTTGGATTCATTTTCTGTTTTTTTTTTTTTTTCCAAAAGAAAAATGTGATGTTAACATAAGGGTTTTTTTTTTTTTTTTTTTAATGTTTATCTGTGTCTTCAGAGAGAGATAGTCATTCCAAACAGAGTTTTTGTATGCTGCGATCCACCCCCAGCCTCAGCCAGCCCGGATCATGGGCCAGCTCCTGCGCTCAGAAAGTACAGAGCGACCTCAGGATGCAAATCTGGGCTTTCCCGAATGGCCTCAGCACCATGGAGCATTGCATTC